TCTCGAGGGTTCCAACTGTCTTTTTTAAAAATGTAAAACCTTCTCGGGGGCCCCAAACGTATATTTTTAAGAATGTGAAAGTTTCTCGGAGGTCCCAACTGTCTTTTTTAAAAATGTGAAACCTTCTCGGGGGCCCCAAACGTATTTTTTTGAGAATGTGAAACCTTCTCGGGGGTCCCAACTGTCTTTTTTAAAAATGTAAAAAAGACAGTTGGGACTTTTTTAAAAATGTAAAACCTTCTCGGGGGACCCAAACGTATATTTTTAAGAATGTGAAATCTTCTTGGGGGTCCCAACTGTCTTTTTTAAAAATGTAAAACCTTCTCGGGGGCCCCAACTGTTTTTTAAATGATGTGAAACTTTCTCAAGGGTCCTAACTACCGTTTTTTTTTAACTTGAAACCTTCTCGGAGGTCCCAACTGTTGTTTTTTTTTAAGAAGATGAAACCTTCTCGAGGGTCCCAACTAGTTTTTTTTTAATAATGTGAAACCTTCTCGGGTTCCCAACTGTCTTTTTTTTTTAAGAAAGTGAAACCTTCTCCGGGGTCCCAAACTGTTTTTTTTTTTTTAAGAAGGTAACACCTTCTCGAGGGCACCAAATGTTTATCTTTAATAATGTGAAACCTACTCGGGGTCCAAAATGTCTTTTTTTTTTTAGTGAAACCTCGGGGACTCCAATTGTCTTTTTTAAAAACATGAAACCTTCTCGAGGGTCCCAACTGTCTTTTTTTTTCAGAAAGTGAAACCTTCTCGGGGGCCCGAACTAGTTTTTTTTTTTATGAAGGTGAAACCATCTCGGGGGCATCAAGTGTTTATTTTTAAGAATGTGAAACCTTCTCAAGGGTCCTATCTTTTTTTTAAGTTGAAACCTCGGAGGTACCAACTGTCTTTTTTTTAAGAATAACCTTCTCGGGGGCCCCAACTGTCTTTAATTTTTAGAAGTTGAAACCTTTTTTCTCTTACACTGTGACTTGCAGTTTCTAATTATTTTTCCTCAATAAAGGTTATCACGAGCAAGTAAAATTTCGACCTTTTTTTTAACTACATTTATCGCCCAAAACAGATGACTAAAATGATTCATAAGTCTCCATTGAACAAAATATTCTGAATGTTATTATATTTTGCCCTTTTTTTTTTCTTAATATACATAGTCATTTTTTCACAACAAGAAACTTTACAAGGAAATATGGATTCTGCAATTATGGGGCGGAGCTTGATTACAAAATCAATATTTCCCTATACAAATTTTCCATTTTAAACATATTTTCAGTTACTTGTTGTCGAAATAAGTCTACACATATTAAGAACAAAAAAGGCAAAATGTAGCCCCGCCCACCCGCCCTGTCTCAATTGTGATGATTTTTTTTATTCGTCGTGAGCCAAGGGGGCGGAGCTTAACTGCAAAATCAATATTTCTCTACGAAAAATTAAAAACATGTTTTGAGTATCGTGTTGTTCAAAAAATACTATGTCTATTAAAAAAAAAAGCCCCACCCATACCTGCCCTGATCTAAATATGTAGTAATGAAGTTTTCATTCGTTACCAGGCCCAAAGGCGGAGCTTAATTGTAAAATCCATATTTTCCCCACAAAAATTTACCATTTTAAACGTGTTAAAGTGTCTAGGAATAAAAAAATCATTACAATTGAGATGGGGTGGGTGGGCGGGGTTTATATTTTGCCTTTTTTTTCTTAATACACATAGCCATCTTTCCACGAAAAAAAAAATGTTTTAAGTGTCTTGTTGTAGAAGGACACCATGTATTCTCAAATTTTCCAGGGGTGGCTCGTTATTAATTTGATCAATAATAAATTGACTGATTCATTAATTTTTTTGAGTCACCTGTTTAAGCAAAACTAAAAAATATGAATGCAATGGCTAATAGTCGATTATTTCGATTTTTTGATGCCTTAATTTCTCGATTTTTAAATTTTTCGACTTTTCGATTTTTTGACTTTTCGATTTTTTCATTTTTAGTTATTTCGATTTTTCGATGTTTTTTCTATTTCTCAATTTTTCGAACTTTTAAATCTTAGACTTTTCACTTTTTTTAGTGTTTCTTTACTTTTGGGTTTTTTGGTTTTAAAATTTTTCGATTTTTCAGATTTTCTTTTTTTCGTTTTTTTTAATTTAAATTTTTCAATTTCTCAAATTTAATTTTTCGATTTTGGTCTCTTTCACGATGTTTTGATATTTCAATTTCTCTATGTTTGAGTTTTCTAATTGTTGTTATTCCAATTTTTCAAATTTTCGATTTTTAGGTTTTTGATTTTTCAGTTTTTAGATTTTTCGACTTTTCCGAGATCTCGATTTTCCAATTTTTCCATATCTCATTTTTTGATGTTTCAGTTTTGTGATCTATTAGTTTTTCGATTCTTGAATTTTTCCTGGATTTTTCAAATTTTCGATTTTTCGATTTATCCATTGATCGACACTTGAGTTTTAGGATTTTTCGTTCGATATTTTAATTTTTTGATTTCTAAAATTTTTCGATTTTTCGTTTTTTTTTTATTTTTCAGTTTATCGATTTTCCAATTTTTCAATTTGTCAGTTATTAAGTTTTTCGATTTTTCAGGTGTATCGATTTATCGAGATTTCGATTTCTTTGTTTCAATTTTTCAGTTTTTCGACTTTTCGATTTCTCGATTTTTCAATTTTTCGATATCTCAATTTGTTGTTTCAGTTTTGTGATGTTTCAGTTTTTCGATTCTTCAATTTTTTGATTTTTCGATTTGTCCATCGATTAATTTTTTGATATTTCAGTTTTAGAATTTTTTCATATTCTATTTTTTTGATTTCTTCAAAGTTTTAAAATTTTTCGATTTTTCGACATCTCGATTTTTCCATTTTTAAAAATTTTCGACTTTTCGCATGTCAGTGTTGGAAAAATTTCAATTTCTGGAATTTTTCGATCTTTCGGTTTTTCTATTTCTCGGATTTCAATTTATCGACTTTTTTCATTTTCGGTTTATTTAAAATTTTTGAATTTTCGATTTTTCAAAATGCTTTGATTTTATTTTTTTTTTAATGTCGGATATTACAATTTTTCGATTTTTTGATGCCTTATTTGTCGATTTTTAAATTTTTCGACTTTTCGATTTTTAAACTTTTCGAATTTTCGACTTTCTAATTTCTTGATTTTTCGATTTTTTCATTTCTAGTTATTTCGATTTCTCGATTTTTCGATGTTTTTTCTATTTTTCAATTTTTCGAATTTTTAAATCTTAGACTTTTCACTTTTTAAAATGTTTCTTTACTCGATTTTTTGACGTCTCGCTTCTGGGTTTTTTGGTTTTCAAATTTTTCGATTTTTCAGTTTTTCGATTTTTCGTTTTTTTTAATTTAAATTTTTCAATTTGTCAAATTTAATTTTTGATTTTAGTCTCTTTCTCGATGTTTTGATATTTCAATTTCTCTATGTTTGAGTTGATTGTTGTTAATCCAATTTTTCAAATTTTCGATTTTTAGGTTTTTGATTTTTCAGTTTTTAGATTTTTCGAGTTTTCCGAGATTTCGATTTTCCAATTTTTCCATATTTCAGTTTTTTGATGTTTCAGTTTTGTGATCTTTTAGTTTTTCGATTATTGAATTTTTCTAAGATTTTTCAAATTTTCGATTTTTCGATTTATCCATTGATCGACACTCGAACTTTAGGATTTTTTAATGTTTCGATATTTTAATTTTTTTGATTTCTTAATTATAAAATTTTTCGATTTCTCTGTTCATATTTTGCACATTTACCAAAGAATTTATTCGGCAAAATTTTGAGATGCCGTAATCAATTTTTTGGGGTTGATAAACAGATACATTTTGATTAAAAAGTTACCATGCTTACAATAACTTCAAAACGTCAAGATTGCACTCAGTCATTAATTGTTTTCACACACCCCGTATAAGCAAAAAAAGTTTGGGCTGGCGTGATCAATTTTTCAGAGGGAGATGAGCAAATATATTTTGATAAAAAATTTACCATGGCTATGATAATTTTAAAACATCTCCAAGATTTCAAGCATTTGGTTTTGCAGTTTCCGATTAAATGGAGTCACGCTGTATATGCAAATCCAAAAAATATGAATGGAAAGATAAATTACAAGTACAGACTCATTATATTTTCCACATTTTAGATAGGATCTATTCGGCAAACTTTTGAGGTGAGGTCATCAACTTTTTGGAGGGGACAAGTAAATATATTTTGCATACAAACTTATCACGCTTATCATAACTGTAAACCATTTGCACGATTTCAAGGTATTCGGTTTTGCAGATTTCAAATTAAATGTCAAAATGTTTCCTAATTTTGATTTTTTTTTTCAAAAAATCTGGACGTTTCGGGTAAAATCTCAATTCGGAGTCAAAAACTACATGTGTAAGACTATGTTATTTGATACAATTGAAAACCCAATTACTATGTACAATTTTGGAGTGACGTCATCACATTTGTGGTGAGGATGATTAGACAAATTTTGGTTAGCGTTTTACCATCTACATGATATACATAACATAAATACAAAATTTGACAAAAATCGGCAAAGTACTTTCGGAGATTTTCTGTCTAATAAAAATCCGGGACGGCAGACAGACGGACAGACAGACAGACGGACGGACAGACGTAAACGAGCGGCCATACGATATCATCCTCATTGACCCAGTGAAAACTGTCCCTTCCGATTCCGTGGCCGCTCGCGTCCGTGATCCGCCCCCGGCACGTCTCCTTCCGGCTTAAGAAAAACCGAACCGCCCCGCCCCACGAACCCATCAAGTGTAAAATACGAAGCTACAGCTTTCCGGCTTATGATTTTAGGACATTTGTGAGGCGAATCCCTCGTGACGTGTTTCTATTATTAAGGCCTCGTAAGCTCTTCTTTTTTAATAAAACGTGCGCCACAATAAAAACCACCATCAGTTCTCCTTTTACGACGTACAAAAGACAAAAATACACGAAGAAAAACAGAAAACTTTGTCTATAAAATAGGATTACGGCTGGAACTATCATAACTCACCTCTTCCAAGTTGGGAACAACGTCTTGGACGATGTTGCAGATGGTGTCGAGGTCCGACGAGAGCGTCAACATCCTGTAAACAGAGCTTAGTTAGAGTCGGCCACGGCGGCGGTGGTTATTAGGGGTCGGGGTGGGGTTGGGGGATACCGCGATCAATTTCGCTAAAGGCAACAAATGGGCGAAAGAGGTCTCCTTTCAACGAGTCGAGCCATCAGTCACGAGCTCTGAGGGTCGAACAAGAATTTTAACAGAGAGCGGGAAAAATATGAACTGGTGGAAGAGAGAGAGAGAGAAAGAGAGCGAGGTTTGCGGGGTCGACGTTTCCCGCATCGAGGGGTCGGCTAACACCGAACTGTCTCGTTCGAAAAGAAAAATTAACGTACGAAGAGGGATGAAGAGAGGATTTAATCTAATTATGTAAAGTAAGTCAAATAAATAAAACACGGGGTCAGATTTGTCGTGGTGTGTGTTTCGGTGAGGGTTTTTAGTATTTTAAAAAGGTGACCTGTAAAAAATTACATTAACACATATTAATGGCCTCAACCTAAGGCAAAGCGTGTAGAACGCTAGGTTAGGGGGACCTTGCTTATACGCCACCTAGCGGACAAAACCGGCCGGTTGCACCGCCGTTATTAATTTAACAAGATTTAGCTGTGGTTAAGGTGTTAATACACGGGGTTGCAAGGGTTTAGATTGACGCTTTTTAGTGTCTCACACAAAATCAAGTGTGCGTACTGAGCTTGGCTCGTTAGAGGTTAGCGGTAGCGCATGCTCGTAAAATTAAACAAAAACATATTATGTGATGCGTTAGGGTTGTTCTTTATTTTAGTGGTGTGTGTATGCAGTGCAACCAGGGCCGGAGTGAGCACAACTAAATAGAGTTTGAATAATTTTACCGTTCAGGGCCCGGGCAATCAGGGACAGTTATCGAGGCTTTGTACTGTTGGTTGATCGTTGTGGCAACACGCAAAATGGCATTGGCGGGCAGGTGGTTCAGGTGGACAGGTGGCACAGCCGGGGGACAGAAGACATTAGTTAACATGGTACTAAGTGATATGGAGCTGCAATCTCAAAAGTAACAGACATGGACTGGTACGAGCGATCAACGCTCGCACGGGCTCGCAACTATTACTATTATTATTATCATTATTATCAAGAAAACACTTGAATCACCTGATTCCTAGAATACAAATCAACATAATTACAAGTGATTACAGAGCTGCCGCGTTTCCATTATTTTACAACAATGAAAAAAAAAAAAAAAAAACTGAGTGACGGTGTGGTGCATGTGGCAACTCTGCGGGCCTGGAATAATTTAAGAACTTAAAATTAATGCAATTAACACGTAACATTTAACAGTACAGTAACTTGGTTAATGTTATCAAGGGCTAGATGTAATTACCCCTAAACTAATTGGGGAAAGTTTGACCTTTTGTCAGTGTGTATAAGTTAAGACATTACCATTGGCGAGGGGTGGGGGTTGGCGCGTTGCCTAGACATATTTACAACACTTCCGAGACCGAGAAAGCCTTCGTGAAATATTATTAGGCAAGTTGTATTAATTGAATTAGTCACTCGCTCTTTGTTAAAAATAAAATCGTAATGTAATTAACCCCAGTCTCGTCTCGTGTTAAGATAATCACCTTAATTATAAATGAATTCGTCGTTGCATTAGCTGTGCTGTCAATGTTATGATGTCGCCCGCGGGGTGTCGCTCGTGCACCGCCTGCGACACCCCTCGGGCTCAAACACGCTACATCGAAAATCAAAACGGCCGTTCCTCAAGACCCTCCTTGAGAAACGCCCATCATCGTATGCCGTCGCACCATCAGATACTGACCTGACTCCTCAACTTCGTAATATTTTGGCCACCCTTACCGATAATGGAACCGGCAACCTACAAAAACATACAGCTTATTAAATCCAAACATCCGTCACTATCGACTCGATACGCCGCTAAGGCAAAAACCGGAAAAAACTCCTCGTTGAGACAGATGTCGGCGACGGCGGCGGCGCGACCCGACGCAACATGGCATGTCACCGGAGCGTTATTTTCGTTCGAGATATCGAATTTTCGCCTAATCCGCCTCTGTTCCGAAGGGTCACGCGACCGACAAGGTTAATGAATGGCTCTGGAACTGGACCGACTTTTCAGGTTGTTCACCTCTTCTTACTCATGAATATCTAACGTGCGTACCGGAGGAACTCATGTTTGCGTTGCGGATGGAACTAACTGGATACACCTACGCGAAACGGAAAATTAAATCCGCGAAACGGGAGTTAGTTGACCCGAGGTGTGATTTTAAAATTGACGCGATCTGCTTCCGATGTTGGGAAATTGCGTCGATGAGCATACAAAGGCGGACGAGAAACGCTCAAGGAATGAATTTTAGTGTTTCGCTCGAGTGTTGTTTGATGCAGTCGGCTTCCCACGGAGGAGGAAATTAAGGGGATTTTTCTTCGCGAACACTAATGAACATGTCTAACCGACGACGCCACGACGGATCTGCCGCTCCGGAGGAAATCGCAGCAGATTAATTTCTCTAGATGATGCTCAAAAGCTGGCCGACGAACCGAGCCGGAGAATGTTCACAACTATAATAGTGAGAGCGTTTTTAACAACTTGTGTAAAGTCGAATCGTGCGGTGGTGCCGTGACCAGGACACAAAATTAATTATGCACGTTTCCTTCAACAATCGATTTTGTACTGTTTTTTACCGAATTTCTGCCACACATTTTAAACTTCGTCCCTCTGCGCGCGTCATGTCGTTGGTGCCGTGACCAGGATGCGAACGTCCTAAGTCGAAATCCCCTCTCGCAGGGATAAATAAAAACATCGCGCGACTTCCACATTTTGAGTTTTCGCCTAATTAAATGCCGGAACCGAGTATCGCAATGCACATCCACGATAAAAAATCGCTCCGTGAGAAGGCAGGTCTTTGTTCTGTCCGTTCTCGTGATGGTATCGCACAACCTCTCCGGTTACTGCTATTTGTGGATTTAAGATAAACCCTCTCCGAGACTTTTACTCCGTCTTACGCAAAACCCACTTTGGTCGATTACGTCCCGGGGCCATGTTTATTTAGTCAAATCTGTGTACGCCGCCCGAAATCCCCATTATCGCCACCTACGTGCCCTTCCATCAAAGACACGCGCTGTGCCATCTTTCGCTTTAGCGTGCGTATCGAGTTCGGTGCCTCCTTCTGGGTCAACAGCTTCAAAAGAAAGCCGAGCCGCCGGATTAAAGAAGTTTGACTAAAGTCCTAAGTTTAACTTTATTACGACGCTGTCGGAGTTAAGAAGCAAATATTAGCCGTAAATTAATTAATGCGTCACTTACCTTGCTTGGGATAAGTAAGCGAACTTCCTCGTCACCTCGCCGTGAACGTTTTTGCGGGGATCCCATCTCTCCGTCAGCTTCCCGCTTCATGGCTACCTCGGCCTGGAACAAAAGGAGCGTCGTTACATTTAGGTGTCAAACGCGAAAGCAGTTGGTGCCGTGACCAGTATTCGACCTGGGTGGTTGTTTTTTCAGGAAACAAGTAAATTGCTCCTCTGGATCAAAACCAACAAAGCAGTCGTCGGCTCAAGGCGAACCTCCCGTTCGGTGACGACTCGACAAAACAACAAATTCGCGATGGATCGGATCCTGGAGGCGTGAATGTGGAGCACAAGGACAAGGTCTTCGTACGACAAAATCGCATGAACCTACGTGTTTCATTAATATTTATGAAACTCCGTACGAAAATGGAATAGCCCCAGGTACTCGCGTGTGAGATAAAGACCATGAATAAGTAACACCAACAAGTGAAAACGAGAAGGACTTAAGGATCCTCTCCGCAAACGGTCACGAAAACCCACACTCTGAAATGTGTAACACATTTTTCAAAACGATTATGTAACGAACGCGAAACTTCCTGACAAATATTGAACCTGTCCGAAGGTGTGTTAAAAGGCACACTTTTAACGAGTAATTTTCCGGTACGGAGAACAAAAGTAAACAACAAACAAAACAGATCAAAGAATGGCGAGTTCAAAGTGGGGTAGACGCGCAAAATTGAAACAGAACGTCGAGAAAAACTGTCAAAAATAGAATAACTAAAGAACGACGCTACCGGGGAAAGCATCCGAACTTAACTTTTTGCGGGAAGCTGAAAAGGCCGCGCAATTTCTAAAGGATGGTTTAGCTGATTGAATGATGGATTGAATACATTTCGGAAATTCGATAAAAGTGGAACATCGCGAGATATTGGCAAACACATCACGCACGAGATTTCTTAGCCTCTCACCGACGAGAACAATGCGAATTTTAATTATCCACACCTTCGAGACAACAATGCCGAATTACAAAAGCGCGATTATCAAATAATTGTAAATCTGTAGGCTTCGATTTGAAGAAAAGCAAACAAGCCAAGGTCGCGCGTCAATGTCGAATTCCTGCTAATACCGAAGGATGATAATGACTTAAACAAAGAACTTGGCTTCGGAACAACAATCGACGAGCTACTGGATATGCAAAAGATCGGGGAAGGTCACGTTACATTCGAATGTTTCATCGCTCATGACATAATTAGCCTTCAGCTGATAAGACGAATCATCCACGTGCTGGTTTTCCATGGGTGTGTCTGCACCTGATCTTTTTCCTTTTAGAAACAACGTCGAGCCAATTATGTGTCGCAGTGCGTGAAAAATACAAGAAAGCAACCGGGCGTTGCGGAAGAGGATCTCTAATCGTCGTAGGAAGAGGATTCTTTAATTGCAGAAGAAAGAGGATTCCTAATTGATGACGAAGAAGAAAGTCGGACGCTTGCGATTCCCTTTGTAAAGATAGCACTGCATGACTGCCAATCCGGAAAACCTCGGCATATGATTTATGGGTTTGATTTTTTAACTGTAGTGAAGTTAATTAATTGTCACGAGCTTTACGTTTACTACGAAGGAAATTATTGTTCGCTGGAACTGCCGCCCACAAATTCTTGTATTACTCATACTGGAACACAGCATACTGCGAAGCAGTAACCTTAATGCTAAACTAGGAGTCATAAACACCACAACATATTCCAAAAACCAAGTCTAGCATTCACCACTACAGACATAATGAAGTGTAAAACGTAACTATCTACCATAAGCTACCTACGCGTACGACTGTAGGTATAATAAAAGCATAAATCTGCAAAAACGGCTCCTTTCGCGTTATTCCGATGTATAATGTTGATAAAATTACCCGAATTATGATTATACTAATGTCGTTTATTTTCGGCACTAACAGTATCCAACCTGAGCCGTGTTACCGCCGACATTTTTATAGTCTCGGCGAAATTTTAATGTGTTTTGTTAAAGAACTAACGATTTGCAATTCAAATTTTCACGTGACTGTTCGAACATTCCGACACTTGATCTAACAAACATAGAAATTGCGAAATCCTTGGCTCTCGAAATAATCACAAAATTGCACTCAGCTTACAAATCGACAATCAATTTCCACGTCGTTACATAACGAAAAAATCCTCGCTGGAATTTGACCATCCGAGACGTTCACTTGTTGCCGCTTACGATTTGTTTATTGCAAGCCGAACAAAGTCATGGAAACCAGAATCTAGGTGAAGTCTATTATGGAGAGGGGTGGACTTGCGAAATGAAATTTCCACGAGACGAGCCAGACAATTTCCGCAATATCGAATCGCTGAGTTATTAGCGACATCCTATACTTTTTAATTCCGTTACGTCAATTCTGTTTGGAAAGTCGGATAAAATCGCATCACAATTTGACAAACATTGCATCAGAGTTTACGAGTTAGCGGCGGTAATTCACGACAACACCGCCGGCGAGCGAAGCGAGCCGCAATTTGGGATATCATTTGGTGCCGTGACCAGGAATAACACGCAGTCCAAATTTCAAAGAACAATCTGGATTGATTGAACTCCTGTTATAACAACGTCAAGTGTAAATGGGTCATTGGTTGGTGCCGCGACCAGTATTGTCGCATTAGCCGTTGTAGCGCAAATGGAACCGTGCCACTTTTCTTTTATTTTAGGGCCGAATACACCTTTAGGAAATTTATCGCGCGAGTTACGCGACTCCAATCCGTCACGTCAGCTTCGGTAACAGCCCGAACTGCCATAATCGCGTCCCCAATATGATAAAGCTGCCACTAGTGTCGTATCGTTTCGCATTAGCGATTTCTCGCTTCTTCGAGTGAAAATTGCATTGAACACAAAGTCGGTGTTCATCTTGTGTGTAGAACAGAATCTCCGGGGTTGCGATAAACGGTACGAAATTGCGGCATCATAATCTCGTTTAAGAAAACCTGTTGAATAATTCAGTCTCAAATAATTATTTCAATGAAATTTAAATTAAGGGACTTTATATTTCAATTTATAAGATTTTTAATTTGGAGCATGAGCCCGGAGGATTAGAGCCGCGCCGTATTTCCGGACGATTTGAAATTTTAATTTCGACGTCGATTTCGTCGGTCGTTCTGATTGGAATAACAAGGGAAGGTGGATACGTCTCGGAGATGCACCTTAAAATTTACCTTTCAATTTCTTGAATAAACACGAGATAACATAGTGAACATCGAGACTGACAGCCGTTGTGCAAACAACGCGAACGAGTTGAACAAACACAACTATAATTGATATAAGGTTTACTTTTTTCCGATTTGGAATCTTCCGGAATGGAGTTTCCCGAATGCGCCATTAAAACGAGTTTACATAACTTCATAGACCGGTACAAAGAAAGAACAATCGAGGATGTGTGCTCTGCAGATTTACCACTTTCTCGGAAAAGTGGCATTGTTTGAAGAGACGAAAATTTGATAATGCGAATCGAAGAGACAAATTTAAAAAACGATCGAGGTCCGGGGGAGGATGTGTTACATCCCGAGAATCAACCGAACGTCGCCGCTTTATTCAAACATCTTCGCGTTCCGGATTTGCAACAAGGATTTATTGGAAAATTCCTTCGAGGGAAAAAAGGATCCGCCGACGCGTCGTCTAACTCGTGTTGTTATCATCATCCGTGGAGACGCAGCTTCTCGTGTAATTCGAAACCTCGAAAACACGTTAATTAACGCTCCGTGAACTTCCAAACAATCGCGAATTAAGTTGGGATCTATTCCAACATAAGGGAACCAGATTTGACTAGTTGGTGTTAACTGATGCGCGAACATTTGACAGTCGCTACAAGTTCGATAGCATCTGAGTCACCCTGATCCTCGGCCGCAGACACAATTATTAATACATTCGGCCCCACCTTTGATGTTCCGGGTCCAACGGGTTGATAATTAAAGGTCGAATGACCCAACCGCTCACTATTAACTAATTAAAGATGTAATCGGCGGCCATTTGAAACTCGAGACGATCGACGATATTCCCGCAAAATGAAATTCCGGCGCAGTGGTGCCGTGACCAGGATTCGCCGCTCCCGGGTCAACATACGGATTTATCCGAGACTTTTTTTTTTTTCGGAGTTTTGATTAAATTTCCATAAACTCCGCAACACACTTTGCCAGAATTAAGCGGGACGCTTCTGCCCTTTGAACTTTGTCTCTAGACGGGAAAAAGTCGGATGAACTTTAACGGCCGCTTTAAAAACTCGATATTCCCACACCTGACACCGACTAGCACTGAACAACTTCTTCGGCTTTGTCTTCTCCCGGAAGAGTTCGCAATTAATTAACTTCGCTTCGCAACATATTAACAAGGGAATAAGGACTCGCGTTTTCTTGGAACGCCGGAAAATTAAAAATCTTTCTCCTACCGATTCGATTATTTTTTTTCGGGAGCATCTCCGACAGCTTATGAGGGAAACCCGGACGGGTTTGACGTACTATTAATATTCATAACGTCATAATGAAATTAAAGGAGCGAAGTAGCTCCAACAACGCGGAATAATGAAAATGGATACACGTCGAAAACTCAATCGGGCGATGGTCAACAACCACCCAGAAAAAGGTAGACGCGCCACAAACACACCTACACCCACCGTCTAAAAACGGCAGTTCCGTTTTGGCTTTCTGGAAGCCCCATTAAGAAAACCGAGTTATGAATTCAATTAGGTGGAATAGTTGCTTTGATCTCCGCTTTGTGATAAAGCATCACGTAACCACAACGCCATATCAAATTAAGGCTAGCCCGTACGGCGTCGCTCCTGATCGATCCAATAATTGGCGAAACCAAAAACTGAATTTCACAATTAGTAAAGCAACAACCATCAATCGACCCATCGAGTAATAACACGTCCGATGGTTCATTAAGCACAATGACCAACCTGTTGTCGAATTTATCGACATATTTCCTGGCTTACATCATGGGTAGCGGCTTCACCGAAAAATGCTAATTAAAAAACGTCTTCATTGTCGACGACGCGCAAGTAAAAGTCGAAAAAGGTCAAAATATTTCCTAATGGGGGTAATGAAATCACTTCTAAATATACAGAGGTTAAATATAATCAGCGACACGTGAAATCAAAGCTCCATTACGAAATTAGAAGCGAAAGAAGGGAATAAAGAGCTCGCTACATTATTTTGAGGAACGCTTGAAATAAAAGACGTAATTCTACATTCCGATATGTTCGTAACTGGATTATCTGATTGTTAGACGAGAGGTCGAAATTACCCACGGCTTGACCTCACGCGTATCGAACGTGACCGTGCGTGTACAAAGTGTTGCCCAAACGAGAAAAACGAGTACAACTGCGCAAGAATTTAGAAATGATTTCACCCAAATCCAATTTTTCCCTTGACTCATCACAATTGGCTCGGACAGGGTAGAACTTTGGCAGCCGTCCCTTCGCAACAAAAACACGCACCAAGTCAAAAATCCGGCCCCTTGTACTCCCAAAAAGCAACTTCTCCCAGTCCCACGATTTTCCTCGCACTAAATTGCCCTTTATTGCGGATGCCTTACATTCCGTGGATTTACTACGTAATGAAGACAGGGAAATTACACTTTCCTTTCGACGTGTTCGAACAATGATACACGTATTGTCGATTGTCTTTTTCCAAGCGGATGTTCCGAGGTTTCCATGGTGAAATCCGGTGAATATTTCGTGGTTTTGTGCGAGCCGCAAAAACGGGTGCGTCGATTTAGTTTTGATTACGTTTTGGGGGTAGACTTTTAGACATTAATTTGTGTTAGCCGGGAGGCGAGGCAATAAACACTAATTAATTTCCCTCTGTCCCCTTCGAATTCATGCAAGAACCATGAGAGAATTTCACCGATCGATTTTCTCTTTTTCGCATTCATAAATTACGGTCTTTCCGCAAGAGGAAACTGCGCTCGTGTGCGGTTGGTTGCTAAGAATCGCGGTATTGGAGTGCAAGACGACAAAAAATTGCAATTTGGTGACGTGACCAGGATGCACCAGAGAGGTCGTCAGAATACACAATGTTTGCATTGTGAATCTTATCACGGCCATGCATCTGTAATACTCTGAGAAGATCTATAATCTCGGAAAAGCGCCAGTGCCACAAGTTGGTGCCGCGACCAGGATACAGCCACAACCGGGGACCCCACCGTTATGCAAACCACATCTTGTAGTCAAACCTCACCAACTCGCGGTGACTCACAACCGTCCCCCATGTGCAAAAATCAAATTTCGCTCCAGTCATCAAGATTTCGTTCCAAATCCGACAGCAACACGATGATTCAATACTAGCAGCTACTTAGCATAAATCGATCGTAATCTAATCCCGAACAGATTTTAATAGAGTGCAAAAGCTGCGATTTTCTCGTGCCACCCGATCTGGTTGCAGCTACAAGTGTCCGGAAATGACTCGGATAGTTCCCGCAGCCCCTACAAAGCCCTTTTTTACGTCCATTTAGTCCATACCTGCATTACGCGATCCCGGCCTTCCCGAGCACACACAGTTGATGTTTATTGTTCGTCTGGATTTAATTAAGGTAGGAATTCGTTGGCGCGTCCACGGCTTTGTCATTTCACTTTATTTTTTCGACCCCCAGCGCTTTCGACTCTCTTTAATTATTATACGCTTTTGAATAGGTTTAATTTAATTTCTGTTTCTGATCGTACGTTAGAATAACTTGTTCGTGTCACCCGGGGCGGTAAGCAGGGTGGGATTAGGAGCGCTTTGCGGGTGCACGTGTGTGTCTTCGACGTCCACTCCGCCCCTGCGTTTACGAGGGTCGACAAGTCCCGAATCCGTCCGATTATTTATTCATTCTTATAAATACGGCCCCGTGAGTGGGGTTGGACAGGTGTACCGTGGAAATTGGGAGAAAATCCGAGATTTCAGACACCGTCGATGGCTAATTGAGCGGACGGAAGACACGATGTATCTTCTTGTTTACATGTCGCTCTCATTATCTCCGTATTTCGTTACCTGAGGCGAACATCGAACCCAGAAACAGGAAATCACGGAACGAAGTTTCAACCTAGCGTGGAACGAGAGTTTTCAGGGGACACTTTTCCGTCGAAGAGTTGGCGTCGATTCGAAATCAACATTACTACATTAGCACCTTGGAAAGTAGGTAAGGCACGCACGATTTCGCAAAAAACGCACATGAATTATTCACCTGTTTACTCGCTACGATTACAATAATTAAGAAAAAATGGAATTGCGATTATGTAAGACGCTCGAATCGCCTTGCCTCTGGCCATATTTCACTAGCATTCGCACCCTCATTACTCCACATTCAACCCTTCCTTTACGAATTCATAGAGGCGAAGACGCACATTATTCACGACGATGCACTGCAATTAATCCTCCCGAAGGACAAGCGTTGGCTCGAAGGTGTGACCGCGTCTGGGTCACGAACGACAACCGTCATGGCATTCCGCTGATAAGATAACAGCACGAATTACTTACTTGATGCGCAGTTCCGATTAAGTGTTATTTTTGGAAAAGAAATCCGAACTCTCGTGACGATCCGGGAGGAAACGAAGACACTAACACTTGCGGTTTTGGGCTTGAAACTGAAACGCAGACTGCGTGCTACCGCACGACCAAGCACTCAAACAAAACAAAACCCACTCGTTCAATCAACCGTTCCGAGTTGTGTGGTGGTGGCAATGTACTCGGATAACCACGCGTTTATGTGGACTTGAGACTACACAGACCACAAGGCGAATGGTTGCAGGAAAGTGGATTCACTTGAGCAGAAGATACGCCCGAGCTCGCAGGAGCAACGCAAATGAAACTAAAACATGTGCGTTTAACGCACGCCGGCCAACTTTATCAACCAGAAACCTCCACATGCTGATGTAACGCGCCTAAACGCGGAATCGTTTAACGATCCACTTGTGGCGCGATTTTTGCAAGGCAACAACATGGAAAAACCACCATCTTTTCATCTTGTAGTTTTCACACTCCATTTAGTACAAGAGCAATGACTTCATTGTTGAAACAATTAGCTACATTCTTAGAAAAGCAAATAATCATAACCTGAATGGGATGCTTTGTACTACGTGGGATTTGGACACAGTGGCCATTTTCGGCCGGGACCTGTGAGTGTTCGTCAGTGATTCCAAAAACGTCTCAATTGTTTGCAAATAGTTTGGCACCTCTCCAACCTCATGCAGTGCATCACCGAAACTCCGAGCAAAATTAAGACGCCAACCCACGAATTTTGACTTTTGCATAGTGGTCACGGCACCAACTGCAATGGAAGTGCAAAGGGAGCTTCTCCTATTACTCGTGGTTGACTCGGGGCTAATTTTTATCACCGCCTTTTGTAAAATCCCAAATAATTAAGTTCAAAGGCGCAACTTTACCTTTGAATCCTGGTCACGGCACCAACTCGAGTGGCCTTTATTTATATCAGCGGTCAGATTTCGTTACACTCGGTTAAATTATTCTCGCAATCCACGATTTGGTCGTTTTCATCCCCCGTCATGCGAAAAACGCGAATCCGAATTCTACACTCGGCGGTCACTCTTGATTTCCAGGTTGAAAACAATATCATATAATACCGTGTTATATGAACCGCAACGAGTAATCATTTTTCCACCCTCATCCCGAATTCCGTTTAAATTTTCATTCGTTATTATTTGCTATGGCCACTTAATTCATTAGCCCGCATCGCACATAAATTCTTGATGTGCAAGAGCTTAAGGGTCGGATTAGCGACCGCAGGTAGTTGAGGCGAATAATTCAGGGATGTTCTGATATTAAAAACAAACTTACAACACCTAGGGTCGCTAATATACCTTCCATAAACTCTAATCCTTTATTCACGCACACAGAAACGCAAATTCAACAAAAGACACTCTCTTAAAACAGCGATGAATTATTCAAGCGGTTCTCATTACATCATCTTGTTCAAAATTTAGAAACATCACAATGCTCCTAAACACACGAATTATCGCCGAACATGAATCACGGTTTTTACACACCATCGCTAATGGAAATTGCAAATTAACCCAACCCTTAACGAAAAATACAGTGATTAGGAACGACGTAAAAGCTAAGAAAGCAACGAAATGGCAATTGGAGCAGCACGCGAATCCCAATTGCCTTTGCTGCTCCGCGCCGATCCTTTGAGATGGAATTTTCCCGGATTTGTGTGTCGATAATTGCGTCTGTTTCGGGAAAATTAAAAATTCCGAGGAAAAAGAACGTCCAGAATGATAAAATCAAACAAATCCCTTTGAGGGGATGTTGCACCTTGGATCGAGCGCCCGTTTCATTGAAAGGGAATTAAAACGGCACGTGGATCCGCGTTTTAGGGCTTTGCGAGCAAACCCAATAAGGGAAACAACGAAAAAGTAAAGATCAAACCGATTTATGAACATCAGTAAGTACATATTGAAGGAATGCGGCACTCGGAGGGTGCAGACGCTGGCGCCACCTCTGAGAAAAGTGTGTAACGATATTAGGTACTACATTATCTGTTTCACTCCCGTGAATAGGAGTAGACACACTAATAGCCCGAGATGCTGAGTCAGCGTAACCCGAATCGAAATCCGTATTTTCTGCGCCCCAGAACGAAAGATAGCGCGTCTTTTCTTTGAGCGACCCCTCGCCATTAGGAACTTTCCTCGTAAAATAAATTAATGAATTTCGCAACTGGTCTCCGGCGTCTTCCGGATTTACAAAGCCGGTGCTTTTACGACGACAATCGCAGCAATCCATTAATTCCGATTAAAAAAGGCAAAATTTTAATTGATGCGAGGCAATAGATTACGAACGAATCGATGCACGAGGACTCGAGTTCTCGCTTTCTGGAAAGTTGAGCAGCAACTTTGCGCTCTTAGTCACAAACTCCCCGCAAAGTGTCGACTTTAAACAATTACCTTCTTGAAACTAGCGTTCGACGAGCGCGGCGGCGAAAAAAAAATCTGATTTATAGTGTTTTCGGTTTCACATTTGTTTTGCAGGGAGCGACCCTATTTTTCAGTCACGCAAATACGCCCTTAAAATGAATTACAGGAAAAGAGGACGTTTCACGTTTACGACCGGGAAAACAAGCTTAAAAGGTTTCAAACACTCCCCGCTTTATTTGCGCAAAGGAGAAAAAAATTATCAAAATTCAATTCGGCGGTGGGGTGAGGTTATCGCGGATTCGTCGTAAAAATTGACAAACCACCGCATAAATAAAATAAATTGATTTGTTTTCGTTCGGGAGGAAAAAGGGACATCAATTTTGCGCCCACGTGAGGGGGCGAAGGACTCTGACTGGGGGGTTTAGTTGGAAAAGTAAAAATTAAACAAGCAATAAATAGTTTAGCGCGATCGAACCCACCCCAGGGGGGCATAAACAGAATTGAAAGCGCCCTCAGCGGCACTTCGATGCCGCAAGGAATTTGAGACGAGTGCAGAAGTGGTAATAAAAGAGTTTTCGTTTTTAATGGCGAGTTATAAAAACTAATTATTTATTAAATATTCAGGGGTGCTGAAAGCGAATCATCGATTATTCTTTTTACATAAAATACGCGTGTGGAAACTTTTTGAAAATCGCATCCTGGTCACGGCACCAAGTGAGAGCAAACAGCACGAAACTATTTAAAATTCAGTTATACTTCGTAGGGTCGTTAATAGTGGCGAAACAAATTCTGTGTCGGGGCGTAAAATCGACATGTGTAGAATAGGCATGGAAAACTTACCCTAGATTAGATCAGCGGTTATCGCCAAGTCCTCGTACCCTTGGATCCGCAGATCTGAAACAACACTTTTCTTGAAACTTTCGCTTATTCGGCGAGATAATACAGGGCCAAAGCTATATCGTCGCAATCTAGTCGTCTAAAAGCGTCGGGTCTAAACAAGTGATCAAATCAAGAACAAAATCTACTTATGCTTGCGATTGGCGTTAGATCAAAAAATGACAAAGGCTTCGGTGAATTAAGAGCAGGCGACATTTATGGTCCGAGTCAATTTTCCCCCTCGAGTGCATACATCGGCTGTTATGTGCGTCGAAAATAGTTCAATGAATAATCATGAAGTTCTATATATACACGGTCTTAAAATTAGATTGGTGTTAAATCGCGTTATCCTAACTAGAATCTAAGGAACGTGCAGCAACAGGAAACAGCACAATGCTTCCTACCTTTTTATCTCGGAGGGCCCGATTAGCTAGACAACTTCACGACTCAACGACCACCTAAGAACTGACCAGCGGTCACTAGACTATCAACTTATCAGTCAGAAATCTCCCCCAGGACAAAACCCATTGGCCTAACGGCAGGGGTACGACGTACGTGGCCACAATTGATTGTTGACGGGTCGTCATAGCGACCTTTCAAAATACAAACAACGATATAGACGAACAGTTTAGCCCGACGACGGACTGGACGTCACAAGCGGATATTGAAATAATTGAAACAATTTTGTAAATGGATAATTCGAATTGTGCAAAAACTAAAACACTGATAGCCGGCTTCATCAACTTAAAAGCTCTTTTACATATCGATTTACAGCGCTCAAATGTCCATACAATTATCTCCATCCGGTTCCAATTACTCTTTCATCATCCGTGGACCCTTTTCGCTACAATTATTAATTAAACGTCACTTCGCAACTTTCGGAATAATGCAGGGCTCGGTGCGACCCGGGCGCACTCCCGAAGTGTCATCGTGTTCATTCGAACTTCGATTACAACAAAACCACAAAAAATTGTACAAAAAGAATTAATAGCGACTACTTTGTACTGCATTTTATAAATTAATGGCCGTATCGATTCGGTTTGTGTCGCTCGAGGGTGTTTCTACTCCACCTACTTAAAAAAAAATCCTACATTTGGAATTGGAAACAAGGAGTATCGATCGGCGTTAAAAAATTTAATCAATTTCTGTTTAAAACGCGATTTTCTGCATGACGGATAGAAATAGAAGCTGGAGTTTGATGTTTATTAAGTTAGCGTCAATCGAGACGAATTTATTTGACAGAAGTTGTAAGCAAAGAGGTATGTTCCATTTGTTGTTTTCGCTGCTCCGCGAAAAAATTTAGTTACCCGGGCTATATTTGATCAACTTTAAACATCTCTTTCCCCATTCTGTCGCCCACTTTAACATCAGAAACGCATTCTTCTACTTCTGCCTTTGTATCATCCAAACGTCAAAAGTTTTTCGTTCTTTTACGACTCGCCGACTCTCTGCTTTTACGTTTTCTCGATCTTTCATGACCCCTAGAAGACGAAGAAATAGGTCTCCCATTTCCGTCCGTCTGTCCGTCTGCCGTCCCGGATTTCTATTAGACAGATAATCTCCGAAAGTACTCAACCGATTGTTGTGAAATTTTGTACTTATATTAAGAATATCATGTAGATGGTAAAACGCTAACCAAAATTTGTCTAATCATCCCCACCACTAATGCGATGACGTCACTTCAAAATTGTACATAGTAAATGGGTTTTCAATTGTATAAAATAACATAGTCCTACACATGTAGTTTACAACTCTGTATCGACTTTTCACCCGAAACGTCCAGATTTTTTGAAAAAAAATCAAAATTATAAAACAATATTTTGAAATTTAATTTTTAATCTGCTAACCAGAATGCTTTGAAATGTTGCAGATGTTTTAAGGCTATAAAGAGCATCATAAATCTTTAGTCAAAAAATATTTACTTATCCCCTCCAAAAACTTGATGACGTCAGCTCAAAAGTTTGTGGAATAAATCATATCTAAAATGTACAAAATATGATGAGTCTGTACTTGTGATCTATCACTCCATTCATATTTTTTGGATTT